TGGGAGTTGAAGTCCACTCATCTTAAAGTGGCCAAGTTTGGACAACACTGGCCTAGGGGAAGATAAATGACCAATATAATCATGTTTGCTAAATGCATGGGCCAAATCCTAGTGCATGTAGTAGGCTTAATATTTTAGTTCAGGCAGCTCTTCTTCTGGAGAATCTCTCCAAAATCCAGGGTGAAAAGTACTTGCAGGAAATGAGCAGAGCTAGGAAGAAGAAGAGACTGCATGTCCCTTGTCCAGTCATTAAAACTGGGGAAACTCAAAGAAAGAAATTCTCCCTTCTTCCCAAAGCCTTGAAAAAGCACATTATTCAATTTAGCAATGAACAGAAAGACTTTCACTGCCCTTTTACCTATCAGCTCTTTTCCTGATGTGAATTGAGAATTGGGGACATGTCCAAACTGCTCTCCATACCAGTCCTTTGACTTAGCTGTGCTCAAAAGGCAGGGGGGTTGTCTCTCAGTTCCCAGTCTGGCCTGAATTAATTTTATTCAAAAAAGGTGATGAACTCAGACCCTGACCTATTTGCAGAAAGACCAACCAGCTTTTAAGAGGCTATCCGTAACTCAATTTCCCTACCAGAGGCTTTTTTTATTATTATTATTATTTTGCTAGCGATGTTGCAACAGTCTCTGTTCCACAAAGGATGATTAATGTCCCAAAGGAGGTTCAACCAGCCATTTCTGTCTCCATTTTGTTGTGAGATACTCCTGGTGTTAATAGAAGGGCCTATGGCTCTAGGTTGTATCAAAGCTAATTCATTACTTACATGAATATATACATACTTACGCTGTTTCTTTTCAGGGTAAGCGACATTACGCAGAACACAGAAAAAGAATAAGACATAGCCAAAGAAATGAAAGGCATGAGATAAGAAAAACAAATGTAGCTAAATCTGGTTTACACCACTGCTATTCCTTATCCCACTCCATATCAGTTTTTTCTTGCAAGACATCCTTGTTTCGACCACTTCCACACACCATTTCATACACTGCTTTTTGCTCCCCAAACGTCTCACGTCTCTCTTTTTGAGGACCTTATTCGCTCTACAACTTTCTCAGGGCTGGATTAGGACCAACAGATGCCCTAAGCACAGCCCGATTGCTTAACTCAGGGTTCCTCAACCTTGGCAACTTTAAGACGGGTGGACTTCAACACTCAGAATTCTTGGCTGGGGAATTCTGGGAGTTGAAGTCCACCCGTCTTAAAGTTGCCAAGGTTGAGGAACCCTGGCTTAACTGACAAGACATTAAGACTCCATAAGTGCTGAAAACTAAAGTCAAAGGTGGCAAGGGAAGACTTAAGGCCATGATAGCTAGGGGAAAAAACTCTGTGGTGCTCCTCCTTCCCTTGTGGCCCTAAGCATGGGCTTCTTTTGCATAATGGTTAATCCAGGGCTGAACTCACTCCTTTCCTTCATCAATTTGTTTGGTGCTCCAATCTTCATTCATTCTCTCCATATGACAAAGCCCCCTCGCTGTACTTCTTTCACATTCGTCACTCTCTTTTGTATCTGATCCATATTCCTTCAGCACCCGTTCCTTTTCTTCTTTCACTATGCCTACTTCTTAAACACCCCATTCCCATTCCATTCAACTGACTTTTATGTTTCTCTTGACATACCAACTCTTATGTGATTCCTCCGCATGAATTATGAATCCTTGTAATTACAGATAATTATGAGCCAAGAATGGAGGCCAAGCTAGAGTATGATAAGCCATCACAGGTTGGCTAGCACTGAACTGAACTCCTGAACTTTTCTTGGAAAGAAAGAGAGAGAGAAAGAAAGGGAGAACATTCTTCTGGCATTAGACAGGCATTCCTTTTCCACCGCCAAAGTACCTTTCTCCTAAACATTTTTTAATACGCTATCATATTTCCTCTCAAACCGCATTCCAGATAGCCTTGTCATATAAAGGACAACTCTTCCATGCCTTCTATTCTGAATTAACAGCCCTAAGCTCCACACCAAACAATAAGGCCTTGCTAAATCCAGATCCAAGATGGTCTGGCAAAGGGATGTGGCCATCATTCCACAGATAAAAACTCGTTACAGATAAGACTCAAGTACTTCAAGGGTGTCCTGTTATTTGCTTTAAGAGGTGAGAAGTAGAGTGGAAATTTAGTCAGAGAATCTGGCATTTCATTATCTCCACCTAACGTTCCAGTCTCCAAAAGGACATGGCAAAGCTGGGGTG